TTATTGCAACCTCTGCAGATGAGAAATTAATCCAAATAAGTTGACATCTATCCAAGGAATGACAGCAGAATTTCTCTTTTTTTCCCTTTAATATGTTTTTATTGATTTCAGAGAGAGGAAGGGAGAGGAAGAGAGAGAGAGAGAGAGAAACATCAATTGGCTGCCTCCTTCACGCCCCCAGTTGAGCCTGCAAGCTGGACATGTGCCCTGACTGGGAATCGAACCCTGACCTCCTGGTTCATGGTTTGATGCTCACTGAACCACACCCACTGGGCGACAAAGCAGGAATTCAGTTCAGTTCTTTCTTTTCTAAAACACCCATGCTTTCCCTGCTGCATTGCATTGCCTCCCCTAGGATATTGCTGCTTCTAACCAGGTAATTGATTCTCCAGAAGAACTCTGTGAAACTGGCCTTGGGTGTGGGAACAAGGCATTCCCAAGGTGATGGACTGAACATTGTGTGGCCTCTAGCACTTATGTAAACTAAATTAAAATCTTGTTGAATGCAAAATTGTTTTTAACAATAGTAGAGTGTCTGCTGAATCATTAGTTCTCCAGGTCATCTAATAAGATAGTCCAGTGATTAGCATTGTAGATAAACTAGAGGCCCAGTGCACGAAATTCATGCATGGGTAGGTTCCCTAGGCCTGGCCAGCGATCAGGGGCGATCTGTGGGGAGACAGGTGGGTCAATTGGGGGGATCCTGCTGGTGTCTACCTTGGAGGTGACCAGCAGGGCAATTGAGGGGTGGTGCCGCCTGCTCACCAGCTGGCCCCGCCCCCCCTCGGTCACCCCACTGCCACCACCAGTAGCCTCTATCTGTGGGAGGCAACTGGCAGGGTGACTGGGGGGTAGCGCCAGCCCCGCCCCCCGCTGCCGCCTGCTTGTCAGCCGGCCCCATGCCCCCCCGCCGCTGCTGGTCGGTCATCTCCTTCTGCAGGATAACTGGCAGGGCAATTGGGGGGCCCTGTTGGCACCCGTCTTGGCTGGCCTGGGGCCTGTGGGCTGGAGGCAGCTCCTGCATTGAGCATCTTCCCCTGGTGGTCAGTGTGCATCATAGCAACCGTTCCTTCCACCAGTAAGTTCGCCGTTCAATTGATTTGAATATTAGGCTTTTATTATATAGGACTAGAGGCCTGGTGCACAAAAATTTGTGCACTTGGGGGGTGGGGGTGCCCTCAGCCCAGCCTGTGCCCTCTCACAGTCTGGGACCCCTCGGGAGGTAACGACCTGCTGGCTTAGGCCTGCTCCTGGGTGGCCGAGGGCAGGCCCAATACATAGGTGCAGCCCCTGGTCGGGCTCAGAGCAGGGCCGATAGGCAAGTTGGGGTGCCACCCCCTGTCATGCACAGAGCAGGGCGGATGGGGAGGTTGCGATGCCACCCTCAGTCACACTCAGGGTAGGGCCGATTGGGGGGTTGGGGCACTGCCCCCATCACACTCAAGGCAGGGTCGATGGGGAGGTTGCGGCACCACCCCCTGTCACGCACAGAGCAGGGCCCATCAGGGGGGATGGGGCTCCGTACCCTGTCACACACAGAGCAGGGTCAATCAGGGGGTTGGGGAGCTCCCCCCTGTCACACACAGAGCAGGGCCCATCAGGGGGTTGGGGAGCTCCCCCCTGTCACTCACAGAGTAGGGCCGATAGAGGAGTTGGGGCACCGCCCCCAGTCACACTTAGGGCAGGGCTGATGGGGAGGTTATGGCTCTACCCCATCACACACAGAGCAGGGCCCATGGGGGAGGGGGGGCGCCGTACCCTGTCACACACAGAGCCACAGGGCGATCAGGGGGTTGGGGAGCTCCCCCCTATCAGGCACAGAGCAGGGCTGATCAGGGGGTTGGGGTGCCTTCCCCTGTCATGAACAGAGCAGGGCGGATACAGAGGTTTTGGTCTCGCCCCCTGTCACACACAGAGCCGCAGGGCGATCAGGGGGTTTTGGCGCTGCCCCCTGTCACGCTGATCCCGGTGCCGGGAGGCCTCTCAGCTCCACTGATCCCAGTGCTGGGAGACATATTACCCTTTTACTATATAGGATAGAGGCCTGGTGCACGGGTGGGGGCCTGCTGGTTTGCCCTGAAGGGTGTCCTGGATCAGGGTGGGGGTCCCGCTTGGGTGCCTGGCCAGCCTGGATGAGGGGGTGATGGCTGTTTGCAGCTGGTCACACACCCTTCAGGGTGGGGGTCCCCTCTGGGGTGCCTGGCCAGTCTGGGTGAGGGGCTGAGGGCTGTTTTCAGGCTGGCGGGTGACTGAAGCTCCCAACTGCTCCTTTTTTTCTTTTTTTAATTTTTTTATTCTGGGCCAGCTTTAACTCTGGCTCCAGCTCTGAGGCCTCTGCTGCTGAAAGCAGGTATCTGGTTTGTTTGTTTTCTATAATCAAAACTCTGTATCAACTCCAGCTCTGAGATCCCAGCTCGCTGAAAGCAGGTTTCTGGGGTTTTGTTTAGCTTCTATATTTGTAATAATGTTTCAAACTGCAAGCTCAGAGGCCGGCAGCGGCAGGTGGGGAATGTTGGATTCCTCCGTCACTGAAGCAAGCAAGCCTGGTGTTAGTTTCAAGCTGCCTGGCTGCTGGCCGCCATCTTGGCTGGCAGTTAATTTGCATATTGCCCTGATTAGCCAATGGGAAGGGTAGCGGACGTACGGCTAATTACCATGTTTCTTTTTTATTAGATAGGATGGGCACCAGAAGGCATTCACCTAAGAGGTGGGTCATTTGCCCCAGTCACACAGATAAATGATAGAACTAGGATGCAAACCCTGGCCTTCCTGATTCCAAGAACCTGACTGATCTTTCTGATACATCATCGATGGCTCTCCTCTTCCCTGTGTATCAGACTCATTAGAGACTTGCACAAAGCACAGGGGTCCAAGCTTCCACTCAGAACTGTGGAGTCAGGCTCTCCACAGTGAGGACATCTGGGGTTTTGGTGTTTGGTTTTATGAACAACTTCCCAAGCAACCCTGCTCTGTGCCAAAGTTTGATAACCACACAACCACACAACACTGCATTGTGGTCCTGAAGAAATGGTCCTCACTAAGCAGTAAAAACTTCTAGGTCAGTTTTTTTATCTTATGGGAGTTAATTGATGAGCTAGCCAAATCCCAACATTTTTTAAATTTTTGAGTCTTTACATTGGGTATGATGGTTTTATTTTTCTTAATTTTCATGTACTTATTTGTGTTTAATTGTTCTCAGCGTACATTATATCCTTTCTTAATAAGTCTTTCTTATTTGAGAGCTAACTGGCACAACCCATTGGTTTGCTTTTCCTCCACACTCTAAAATTTCTCCCACAGATGTTATAGGTTCTCTTTTGCTTTAGAATACCAAATGTTTCACAAAGATTGCTCTTTAGTTGAAGGGAGCTTACCTTTTTTTTTTTTTTTAATATTAAGCACATTTTAGTGGGTTCTTGGGACTAAATAATATAGTTAGTTATATTTGAAGAGAGGGACTCAGTAAACTGAATAAGGATTAAAGACTCTCATGATCATAAAAGATTTGATTACACCAACAGTGCCCAGGAAACAGTGACCGAACCTCTTTGTGCATACCTCCAACGTGAGGTCATGTGGATCATGGGGGTTCAAGTTCAGGACATCTACATTGCTTCAAAAGCATGATATAAATGTCCTGCCCCCATCCCTCACCCAAGTCCTGCTTCTAAGAAAAATGCAATCTTAGTGTCTGGCTACCTAAGGTGAGTTGTACCTAAGGAGTTTATTGGTTCCAAAATAATTTCTCTTTCTGGTTTTCTCATTCTGCTGAATTTTCTTACTTAGGATTTGCAAAGTTTCTCTCTTGCCTCTGGGTGATAAGTTACTATTGCCATAAATAAGATAGTCACTCATGTTTAAAAACAAATTAGGAGAGAGAAATACTCGCCAGTGTAGTGTCAAATCAAGGAAACACTCCTGAACTTTCCAAGAAAAAAACAACATATAGCTTTGTTATCAGTTTGAAATGCTTGGCTCACAGGCCAGCTGTTATCTTGCAGGGACCACAGAAATGTGCCTGCTCCTGCCACACGGTTTTATACGTGGAGAAGCAGCAGCCCCTCAGCTTGAGTTTTCCTAAATGGCGAGTAGTTGTTCCTTCTTTACCGTCTCAGTTTTATGCCACTAAGTAAAGAATATATGAGAAGGAATAAGATCAGCACTTAAAATTTAAAATAATTATATTAAGTTCTTCATTGGTGGGGCTTCAGTGAAATTTTTGAAATTATATTTTTCACTCATTTTTATTCCATCTACTTTTTCTTGCCTTTCGACCATGTCTCACATTAGTGATACCCCGAATGTCAAGCTGGGACTCTTCTCGCAGGTTCTTGTCCTATGAAGTTTGAAGAATAAATTTGCAGACTGAAAGATTGTAAGCAAAAGTGTGGAAGTTTATTGCGAGTGTATACAAATTCCCCCTGGGACGGGTCCCCAAAATGAAGACCCCTGTTCTCTCTCTAAGATGGGAAAAAAACAGTACAGTGAGTCTCTTTGTCTACAGGTTTATAAATGCTCGAAGCTTCTTCTTTTTTTTTTTTGTTTATATTGGTTTAATCCATGTCAAATGTAGTTTACAAAGGGAAAGGACAAGTACCTTTGTATAGAATATACAGACACAGCATCACACTATGGGCCCACGGGAGGGGCGGGGAGACGACACTCTTCCCTGGGAACAGCAGCTCTAATCCCAGGAATGGTTCTTGGTAGAAGGCTGGGCAGCCAGGAGCACCCTCATCCAGCCCCAATCTCAGCCCCTGCTGTGGCTCGGTTCCCATTCTTGTGCCTCCTCCCCCCCAACTCCTTATAAAGAGCCCCAGGAGCTAAGACTAAGGAGAGGATCACGTCCCTTGGGGCATGAGAAGAGATATACACCACTGAACACCGAGCACATGGGAGGGGAAGGGACACCACGGGAGAGGGAGAGGCAGGCACCCCAGGAGGTGGGTGGGCCCAGCCCCCAGCCAGCCCTGAGGGAGGCACTGCTTCCAGGTGTTCTTAAAAAAGAAAATCATACAACCAAAGGGGACGGGAGAGGCGAGGGCGGGGAGTTATCCCATTTATACACAACATTGTAAACATACACGTCTATATTACATGTGCTTCAGTCTGGTGTTGGCATGTCTGTCTGTCTGTCTGTCTGTCAGTCGGTCGGTCTGGGGGCTGGATCTCAGGAGCCTTGCCCTGCTACCCACCCCACCTACACCTCCCTGCCCCACCCTGGGAACAGAACCTGGAACAGGTATGGTCCCCAATCCTGGTGGGAGTGTGGCAGGGCCTGGGCCTCTACATCCACTCTGACTCCAGAGGCCTGTGTGTGTGCGTGCGTGTGTGTACATGTATGTACATGGGGAACCTGTGTGCAAGTATGTACAAGGGTTAGGGTCACATCACAGAGGCGGCAGGTGGGGCTGCTTGAGGCAAGGCCTGCCTGGGGTGGCTAGCTCACAAGTAGATTCTCCGCAGGTCTCCAGGTGCTGTGATGGTGTTGCACTGAGGGCACAGCTTCTTGGCACCCAGGGTCCGCAGCCAGCACTCCTCGCAGTGCACATGCCAACACTGGATGGACGTTAGGGGCATCGAGTATGAGTCCATGCAGATGAGGCATTTGTAGCGGTCCCCACGGGATAGCTGCCATTCAAGTTCCCTGACCCGAGCCTTCAGGGCCTCAAATGTGGTCACAGCTGAATCTTCGGTTATTTTTTCGATGTCACTATTCTTGCATGTCTTCTGCATGGCCTCCTGCTTGCTGCTCTCCCCGTTGCTGGTAGATGGCATCTCATCACTGGCCCATTTAGAGAACTCAGGTGTGATGCGCGTGCTGGGAGGGCCGCCATTTAGGACTGCACCCCGGAGCGCCTCTCTCTCCTTGGCTTCACCAGGCTCCTCGCCTGTGCAGGGGATGACGTCAGCCTCCGTGTATTGTGGCTTCCCATACTCCAGAGTGTCATCCCCATCCACATCCAAGTCAGCATCACTGTCCGGATTCTCTTTGCCGCTGCACATGACGAAGCCAGAGCCTCGGAAACCACCTTCCAGGAGAGTGGTGGCCCGTATCCGTTTCTGCCCGCACCACTCATACTCCTCAAAGCGGTTGCTGTTCTCATGCTCGATGTCCACAGCATCCTCCTCAGCCATGCAGGAGCCTTCCCTCTTAGAAAGGCAATGCTCCACATGCCTACTCATCTCCTGCTCCGATCCTGCCAGGGGGCGGCTGCACAGGGGACATACCTGCCCTTCATCTTGCTTCCTCCGTTTCATTTTCCCAATCCGAGCATTCAGCCGGGTCTGCCGGTTGGCTCGCACTCGCAGGAAGGTCTACTTCCTCCCTCCCGCCGGCCCCCCTGCTCCGCCGGCCGCTCCGGGCCCTCGGCATAGCCGCCGGGGGCTGCTCTAACGGGACCCCGGGGCCGCCGCGCGGTGCCGTCCCAGCCCCGGCTTCCGGCGCTCGAGGCCCCGCGGCCGCCCGGCCGGCGAGGGCGGCGATGCGAGCGGATTCCCCCCTCGAAGCTTCTTTGTCTGTTCATCCTACTTTCTAATTGGACCCTTCCTTATTTTTTATGTCCCCATGTTTTCCTACTTGGCCTCTTTCCCCCTTTTCCCTGCATGGTATCAGTTTCCAAGTTTCAAAGCTCACCCAGTGCCGCCCTCCTCTTCTTCCCCTTACCTTGTAACATTCTTGTACACAATCGGGTGGGTTGGAGCCATCTATCTCCCGCCCATCAAGTATGCATTCCTCTCCCATGGACCCTTACCCTAAAACTGCCTTTTCCCTAACTGCCTCTCCTGTCTCTAAAATCCTTTCATTAGCAAAAGAAATGTTCAGAAGAGCTGATATCTACTGAGGATCCATGTGCATCATTTCGTCTGTCCTTTGGGCTTGTCATTATTACAAAGGAAAAGGGTCTGCTCTCCTCTGAGAATTTCCAGCTGCCATTAGCAGTTTGCACAGAGGGCCCAGGGTGTCTTTTTTTAGGAGTAGTGATTTGCCACCTTTCATCCTCCCACCACGAAAGAACTGGGAGCCAAGCAATTTCAGGAATCCAGCTCCCATTCATGATTCCATTAGTATTCTCACAGTAATTAATTTAAGTTAATAAACAAAATTTGAATCCTTTCAATGAACTGAGAGCTGCCAAGTATAGATGCACAAGAATCAACGAGTTTACAAACCAGGGTCGGGGGCGAAATGTAAGCCCGGGCTTTACAAATGGACATGAGTTTTTCAGAGTCAGTGTTTCTCCAAGTATGTCAGACCTATCAGTGGAGCCTGTTAAGAACTATAACTTCCTGGGTGAAATACCAAACCTACCACACCCAGGTCTCTGAGGGTGGAGTATGGGAATCATTTGTAATCAGTCCCCAGATTATTCTTATGCCTATTGCTTGAAAACCACCGATATCCTGTAACTGCCCTGGGCAGTTATAAAGGGAAATGACATTTGTTCATCAGTAATTATCTGTGTTATCATTCCAAATAAGAAGTTCTCATCTTGGGATCAGTAAAAATCAACTAGAGAACTTCATGTAAAATGCAAAGTCCTGTTTATGTCCCAGTAATTTTTTATTTAGTGGGCCCAGGAATATACTGTGTATGTGTGTACATGCTGAGGTTAAAAAACATAGGTTTGGGGATGCAAACACCTCAGGATAAATTGAGTAATAAGAGCTTGTGCAAGAACCTACATTCTGTATGGCTGGGCTATTTAAACCTTAAAATGAAAATAATAACACTTACCACACAGGATTAGTAGTTCGATTCATTGATTTTAAATAAATATATACCCCCACTTCCATTTCTCCCAACCTCCAGCCCCTGCCTCTGGCAACAATCACCAATATGTTCTTTGTATTATGAGCTTGTTGTTTTTTATTTTGCTTTGTTTTTTAAGATTATACATATCAGAGAGATCATACGGTGTTTGCTTTTCTCTGTCTGACTTATTTTATTAGCATAATGTCTTTGAGGTCCACCCATGTTGTCACAAATGGCAACATTTCATTATTTCTTATGGCAAAATAACGTTCCATTATATATATACTAGAGGCCCGGTGCACAAAAATTTGTGCACTCGGGGGGGGAAGGGGGGTCCCTCAGCCTGGCCTGTGCCCTCTCGAAGTCTGGGACCCCTCGGGAGATAAAGACCTGCTGGCTTAGGCCTGCTCCCGGGTGGCAGAGGGCAGGCCCAATCCCTAGGTGGAGCTCCTGGTCGGGCTCAGAGTAGGGCCAATTGGGGAGTTGGGGCGCCACCCCCTGTCATGCACAGAGCAGGGCGGATTGGGAGGTTGCAATGCCACCCTCAGTCACAGGGTAGGGCCGATTGGGGGGTTGGGGCACCGCCCCCTGTCACACTCAAGGCAGGGTTGATGGGGAAGTTGCGGCGCCACCCCCTGTCATGCACAGAGCAGGGCCCATCAGGGGGTTTGGCGCTCCTTACCCTGTCATGCATAGAGCAGGGTCGATCAGGGCGTTGGGGCACTGCCCCCTGTCACTCACAGAGCAGGGCCCATCAGGGGGTTGGGGAGCTCCCCCCTGTCACTCACAAAGTAGGGCCGATAGGGGAGTTGAGGCACCGCCCCCTGTCACACACAGAGCAGGGCGGATCAGGGGGTTGGGGCACCACCCTCTATCACCCACAGAGCAGGGCCGATCAGGGGGTTGGGGCGCCGCCACTGTCACACTCAGGGCAGGGCCGATGGGGAGGTTATGGTTCTACCCCATCACACGCAGAGCAGGGCCCGTGGGGGGAGCGGGGGTTGGGGCGCCGCCCTCTATCACCCACAGAGCAGGGCCGATCAGGGGGTTGGGGCGCCACCACTCTCACACTCAGGGCAGGGCCGATGGGGAGGTTATGGCTCTACCCCGTCACACACAGAGCAGGGCCCGTGGGGGGGGGGGGGTACCGCACCCTGTCACACACAGAGCCACAGGGCGATCAAGGGGTTCAGGAGCTCCCCCCTGTCACCCACAGAGCAGGGCTGATCAGAAGGTTGGGGCACCTTCCCTTGTTAGGAACAGAGGAGGGCCGATAGGGAAGTTGTGGCCCCGCCCCCTGTCACACACAGAGCCGCAGAGCAATCAGGGGGTTTGGGCGCTGCTCCCTGTCACGCTGATCCCGGTGCTGGGAGGCCTCGCAGCTCTGCTGATCCTGGTGCTGGGAGGCATATTACCCTTTTACTATATAGTATAGAGGCCTGGTGCATGGGTGGGGCTGACTGGTTTGCCTGAAGGGTGTCCTGGACCAGGGTGGGGGTCCCCACTGGGGTGCCTGGCCAGCCTGGATGAGGGGCTGAGGGCTGTTTTCAGGCTCATGGGTGACTGAAGCTCCCAACTGCTCCTTTTTTTTTTTTTTTTTTTTTTTTTATTCTGGCCCAGCTTTAGCTCTGGCTCCAGCTCTGAGGCCTCTGCTGGGTTCTATAATCGAGACACTGTATCAACTCCAGCTCTGAGATCCCGGCTCACTGAAAGCTGGTTTCTGGGGTTTTGTTTAGCTTCTATATTTGTTTCAATGTTTCAGACTGCAGGCTCAGAGGCCTGCAAGGCAGGCGGGGAATGTTGGAGTCCTCCATCACTGAAGTAAGCAAGCCTGGTGTTAGTTTCAAGCTGCCTGGCTTCCGGCCGCCATCTTGGCTGGCAGTTAATTTGCATATCTCGCTGATTAGCCAATGGGAAGGGTAGCAGTCGTATGCCAATTACCATGTTTCTCTTTTATTAGATAGGACTAGATGCCCTATGCATGAATTCGTGCACTGGTGGGGTCCGGCCAGCCTGCCCCAATTCAGCTGGGGAGAGGGGACACGGGAGGTTGGCTGGCTGGCCCCGCCCCCCTGGTTGAATTCCCGATCGAGGGGACAATTTGCATATTAGCCCTTTATTATATAGGATATTCCATTATCCTATATAATAAAAGAGAAACATGCAAATTAACCATCTCTCTGTCACTCTGCCACTCCGCTACACCAACCAGCCAATCAGAGCGACTATGCAAATTAACCCAACAAAGATGGCGGTTAATTTGCATACACAGCCGCAGAGTGAAGACTGAAGACAACTGAAGATGGTGGCGGCCAAGGAGCTGGAGCAAGTAGGAGGCTTGGGTTGCTCCCGGTGACGGAGGAAGCCAAGCTTCCCACCGGCCCTGGACACCGCTCAAGGAGTGGCTGGGGGCCTGGGCTCCGCTCAAGGAGGGGCTGGGGGCCTGGGTCACCGGGGGCGACCCAGGCTTCCAGCCCGCCCTGGCCTCCGCTCGTGGAGCTGGAAAGAAAAAAAAAAGGAGTGGCTGGGAGCAGCCAGAGCGGAGAAGCCAAGCCTCACTGCTGCGGCCAGACCAAAGGCCTGGGTCCCGGGTACCAGAGGAAAACTGGTGCCAGCAGCCAGGGGAAGGAAGGCCTATTGCACAAATCTTCATGCAATGGGCCACTAGTATATATATATATATATATATTCCATTATCTATATACAATTTCTTTATCCATTCACCCATCAATGGACACCTAGGTTGTTTTCATATCATGGCTACTGTAAATAATGCTGCAGTGAACATGACAATGCATATATCTTTTCGAGTTAGTATTTTTGTTTTCTTAGGATAAATACCCAGAAGTGGAATTGCTGGGTCATATGATAATTTTGTTTTTAATTTTTTGAGACATCTATGTACTGTTTTCCATAGTGGCTACACCAATTTACAATCTCACCAACAGTGCATAAGGGTTCCCTTTTTTCCACATCCTCTCCAATATTTGGTATTTCTTGTCTTTTTTATGATAGGCATGCTAACAGGTATGAGGCCATATCTTGTGGTTTTGATTTGCATTTCTCTGATGATCAGTGATATTGAACATCTTTTCACGTGTCTATTGGCTCTCTCTATGTCATCTTTGGAAATGTCTATTCAGATCTTCTGCTCAATTTTCAGTTGGATATTTTTTGCTATTGAGTTGTATAGGTTTTGTTTTGGTTTTACATATTTTTAATATTAGCCCATTTTCAGATATATGATTACATATATATTCTCCCATTCAGTAAGTTGCCTTTTCATTTTTGTTACTGGTTTCTTTTGCTGTGCAGAAGTTTTTTTTACTATAATGTAGTCCCACTTATTTATTTTTTTTCCTTTGTTGCTTTTGACTTTGATTAAAAAATAATTGCCAAGACCTATGTCAAGGAGATTACCACCATATTTTCTTCTAGGAGCTTTATGATTTCAGGTATTACATTCAAGTCTTTAATCTATTTTGACCTAATTTGGGGGCATAGTATCAGATAGTGTTCCAGTTTCATTTTTTTGCATGTAGCTGTCCAATTTTCCCAACACCATTTATTAAAGAGACTGTCCTTTCCCCTTTATATATTCTTGGCTCCTTAGTTGTAAATTAATTGATCATACATGAATGGATTTATTTCTGGGCTCTCTATTCTGTTCCACTGATCTATGTGTCTGTCTTTATGCCAATACCATACTGTTTTAATTACTACCATTTTGTATTATTTTTTGAAATAAGGGAGTGTGATGCCTCAAACTTTGTTCTTTCTTGAGATTGCTTTGGCTATTCAGGGTTTTGTGTGGCTACATAAAAATTTTAGGATTATTTGTTCTATTTCTTTGAAAAATGTGATTGATATTTTGATAGGGATTGCATTGGATTTATAGATTGCTTTACGTAGGATGGACATTTTAACACTATTGATTCTTTCAGTCCATTGAATGTTTCTTTTTACTTATTTGTGTCTTCTTCAGTTTCTGTCATGGAGCCCAGGAATATACATTTTTAATAGGCATACTTGCTAGTGATCCTCATGCAGTTGATTGGAGGATAACACCTTGAAAAGTACTGACCTGGTGAATGGCAGTTGGCTGTAACATCTAGCATTCTCTGTAGGATGTAGCAGTATTTACACAGTGTTGTTTTATTAAAATTATAGCAATATGATGAGATTCAGACAAGGCATGTCATATAATGCAGCTAATTCATTGATTTATTTTGACTCACCATAGTCATTTATTACTTAGATCGGAAAACTCAGACTTTTTTAAGTAGACTATTTCATTCAAATATGTCCTCTCATTTGAAATAATAAGTCAATATATAGAATATAGATTGAGACATTATTTCTTGAAATAATAATTATCTCCTATAACAGTAATGCTGTAAATAAGTATTTGGGTGCTGTTCAACATTGCATTGATTTTCTGAAAGTACAATATGGTGTGAAGCATCCTCTGCCTTTTAGAATCACAAAAATAAATAAATAAATAAAGGAAAAAGAAAATCTGTGTATAGCAGCTTACATCAGACGTGAGGAACCCCATTGCTTTAAGGGTGGACACTGAAATCACCTTCCCCTTCTTACTGTCAAGTGGCCAAAAATCATTACAGACTGAAGTCAAAGACGCCACAGAACCTTAAATAAATTTTTGTGAATAAAATCTATCAAGCAGATTCAAAACAAGAGCCTTCTACAAACTTAGTTATCTTTAGAATTGAAGTAACACCCCATGGAAAAGACTGACCCTTTGCAGAAAAATAGTAGCTTAGAGATAGAATATATGAACTTGCCAAGCAATATGTGGATTTAATTTCCTTCTCTGATCAGCTTCATAAAACTCCCATCATGGCCTCTGAATATGGTCTTGCCTAACACAAATGAGGCATGATTCCTCTGACTACCTGAGATCAACTACTTATTACCCAAAGAAAAGCCTGGGGTAGATCTCTAACAGAGAGAAGAAGCCTGCTTCTAAGGATCAAGGAATAGATGAAAACGTTCTTTGGTGGTTCAAGGGTAGAAGAGGACTGTCTCTGCTACTCTATTATGATTAAAACCACAGGTGAATTTTCTCTGCCCTTAGCCTTTCTAAACATTCAGCCTTACATTTCTTTCCCCCCGCTGTTAACATATCATACCAATATTACAGTAAATTTCCATTTTACCAAAATAGGTTGGGACCAAGATCATTTTATTAAAATCATATTTCCTGACAAGATGGAAAACACCAACTTAATTTGAGAACTTCTGTGTGGAGGCGAAAGTAGAGACCTTGAGCCAAGTGAATAATTGTAATGAAAGCTGAAGCTGCCACTGCTCCTCCCTTGGTCCTTTATAAATTAGAGTATTTTAAAAAATCAATTATAATCCCATAAAAGGTTCATGAGCTCATGTAATTATCTTACTAGGCAATAACTGCCATTTATACTAGAAAGAGACGATATAAAATTTGTATTTGTTTTAACCATTATAAATGTGCTTAATTTGTTTCCAATTATGTTTGTGTTACTAGGACATCTTGTTAATCTGGCCAGTTAAACATGTTGTTTTGAATTTATCCTCATGAGACTTTGTAAAGCCTGAAAATTTATATAGGCTGGTAATTTTGCACTGAAAACAGTATTTTCCAGCACAAAATGGAACCACCAATGTGTATAAACACAGAGATGCCTCATAGAGGAGGAGGGGATGGAGCCGGATATATTTAATTTACTCTTACTCCTCCACTCTGCAGGAAAGTTCAAAACACACTTTTTCCTGGTTATTAGAACTGACTTTTTCAAATGTTTATCAAATTATGACGAGCAGGAATGATCCCAAACGAACTTTGAATTGCATGACATTAAGCAAATGCTCTTGGGATGCCTTCTTTAAGTGACGTTACAACTAAAACCCATTTTTGAGAATTACAATGAAACAAGTCAGTGAGAACAAGATGCTGGTGCTGGTGATCTTTGTATGTTGATTTATATTTATGTTTCAGCTGTTTGAAAAAGTCAAAGAGGTCTGTCCCAACGTGCAGGAGAAGATCAGAGCGGTTTACGCGGACCTCAACCAGAACGACCTGGCCATCAGCAAGGGGGACATGCAGGAGCTGCTCTCCTGCACCAACATCGTCTTCCACTGTGCCGCCACCGTGCGCTTCGATGACCACCTGAGGTACTTCCTGTTCCCCTCTCGAGGCTTGTATGGATATGTGTGTGTGCATACACGTGTGTAAGTCTCTCTATGGTTTCTGTTGTGGATTTTTTTATAAAAGATAGTCCCAGTGAAAAAAGTACAAAGGAGTAAAACTTCTCCAAAACCTCACATGCAAGAGCTAACCACTTAATATTGTGGAGAACATTCATTCCAGTTTCCCCTTTTTAAAAAAAAAAAATATATTTTTATTGATTTCAGAGAGGAAGGGGGAGGGAGAGAGAGATAGAAACATCAATGATAAGAGAGAATCACTGATCGGCTGCCTCCTGCAACCCCCCCCCCCCCCACTGGGGATCGAGCCTGCCACCCAGGCATGTGCCCCCCACTGGGAATCGAACCTTGATCTCCTGGTTCATAGGTCAAGACTCAACCACTAAGCCATGCCAGTTTTTCTTTATGCATCCATAGTAAAATAGATTTATGTTCAAATCTACAAAAAAGTCATCATATTGAGAACATTTTTGCAAACTGCTCATTTATTTTTTTATCTTTCATTGTCAATGAGTGCTCTATTATAATTTGTAATGACTACATGATATTTCTTTGTACACATATGTAATATATTCAACCAGTTCTATATTGGTGGATTGTTCTAATTTTTTATTATTGTAAACAACTCTGCAATGAACACCTCTGTACATAAATGTTTTTTATATACCTTTGGGTGCTTCCCTTTGGGTACATACCAAGAAGTGGAATTGTTAGGTATGTATCAAATGTGCCCAGATTAGAAACAGATTATAATTTGTTATATAATGCTAAATTGCTCTTCAAAATGTGGTATCATCAATTTACACCATCACTATGCACATGATTCCCCATTTCAACGCCCACAACAATACTCTATTATAATTCTTTAATTCTTTTTAACATTGTTAATATGATCATGGAAATGGCATTGTGAGGTTTGATTTTTATTTCTTTGATAATTAGAAAGGTTGAAGATGTTTAAATGCTGATTGGTATTTTATTCTTTTGTTCAAATACCTATCCATGGTTTTTGCCTATTTTTCATTTGAAGCATTTTTTTTCTTATAAATTTTAAGATTTCTTGAAAGATTTAACAATTCTTTGTTTTTTAAAAGGCTTCAAATATTTTAACACTTTATCATTTGTCCTCAACTTTGTTTTTATTATGTATGCAGTTATTTGAAATTTCTTCTAGTATTTTTAGTTTCATTTTCACATTTCAATTTTGACCCATTTAACATTTCTTTAGCTTTAAGGGGGAATGAGAAGTCAGGAAAGTTCTGTAAAAAGAAGAGTGAGGTAGGTGTGAATGTAGAGTAACCTTTTTTTATTATTTCTAACACGGTTACTTCTAAAACATTTATTGAATGATTTATTTTTACTTCTTTATTTGAAAAGGAAACTTGTAACATATTAAATTCTCATTTTTGGTTTCATTCAGTTTTCTCTTTCAACATCATAGTATTTTAATTACTATAATTTTTATTTTATTAGGCAAGTATACACACATCATTTTTCAATAGGATTTTCTTGACTATTATCACCTGCTATACTTCGTGATTAAACTTACAATAATTTTCCAGTTTTTTAAAATGGTTGGAAATTTTATTGGGCTTACCTGAATATGTAGATTCATTTAGAAAACGACATTGGTTCTTTCTATCCAGGAACAATATATTTCTTTCTATTTATTCAAATTTTTTGTCATGACCCTTAATGAAGTGTTATCATTTTTAATAGAGTCTATTTGTTTATTATTAACTAGAGGCCTAGTGCATGAAATTTGTGCATGGGGGTGGGGGAGGGGAGGTCCCCTCAGCCCAGCCTGCACCCGCTCACAATCCTGTACCGCTGGCTCCTAATCATTCACCTGCCTGCCTGCCTGGTCACCCCTAACTGCCCTCACCCTGCCAGCCTGATCGCCCCTCACTGCCTCTGCATGCCAGCCTGATCACCCCCAACTGCACCACCCCCTGCCAGCCTGGTTGCCTTTAACTGCTCCCCCCCCCCCACCAGCCTGGTCACCTCTTACTGCGGCCTCCCCCTCCCCCACCGGCCTGGTCACTCCCAATTGCCCCCCTCTGCTGGCCTGGTTGCCCCTAATTGCCCCCTGCTGCTGGCCTGGTTGCCCCCAACTGCCCTGCCCCCCGCCAGCCTGGTCGCCCCTCACAGCCCCCCTACCGGCCTGGTCACCCCATGCAGCCTGCTGTTCAGTCATTTGGTCATTTCTCACTAAACCCCCCTGCTGGCCTGGTCGTAGGCAGCCATCTTGTGAGGATGTGAGAGTTAATTTGCATATTACCTCTTTATTATATAGGATGTGATATATATCTAAATATTGGATTTTGAATCTGTGCTTTTCTTCCATTGTATTCTCTAATTGTTGTTTCTGTCCTTACTGGGTCATCTTATTGTCCATCCAACATTTTTTAGCTGTTTCTGTTTGCTTTCCAGATATACAGTGATGTAATCTGACATTGGGTTTGTGACAGCTTTACATCTGTTAATATTTATATCTGTGAATTTTTTTTCCTAATTACAAGGCTGGAACTTCAGAGCAGTGCTAAGAGTAGGGATTGTAGATATACTTGACCCTCTTTTCACCAAGAAGCATGATACAGGCCAGCTGTGTTTCCTTCTGCTTAATTCTCTTTAGACATGCCGTGCAGCTCAACGTTACTGCCACCCAGAAGCTCCTGCTCATGGCCAGTCAGATGCCAAAGCTCGAAGCATTCATACATATCTCTACTGCCTTTTCCAACTGTAACCTGAAGCACATTGATGAAGTCATATATCCATGCCCTGTGGAGCCAAAAAAAATCATCGACTCTATGGAGTAAGTTGGCTTAAGTGAGGGGACAGGAGTGAGCAGATTATGTTTGTCTTTGATTCTTTGTTGTCATTCACTGATGAGATAGCAAAGGGGAACACCCTTGAAACAATGTGCTTTGAAATGGTGCTAGCTTTAGCTACCCTGCCCCTGCTAGTCCCTCCATCCCCAGGTCTTGTTAAATAGCTTAGTCTTGTTATATCATTTAGGATTAAAAGAGGTACTTGGGGATACTTTACATAGAAGTGGTTTCTCACTTCTTAATAAACTCAGTATTATCACTAAAGAAAATATAGTATATTAGAGGTCCGGTGCACAAAATTTGTGCATGGGTAGGGTCCCTCGGCCTGACTGACAATCAGGGCTGATCAGGGCCTTCTGGCTGCCAGCCAGGGCCTTTCTCCATTCCACACAGCTCCCTACTGGTCAGCACATGTCATAGAGAGCGATCGAACTCCAGGTCTCCCAGTCGAACTCCCAAGGGGACACTTTGCATATTAGCCTATGAAAGCTCAGACGACAAGTTTTGGAGATTGACAAGGATTCAACTTGAGGCTTTGCAATTTACTGGCTATGTGATGCCAAGCAAGTTCCTTGGCCTCTCTGAGCTTCAGTTCCTTCATTGTAAAATGAGGCTAATAATAGTGCCCATCTTATAGTTGTGGTGATAAACTGATAAACACAAGCAATTATTGTAGTGTTAAGGGGTGTTCAATAGCAGTAATCAAAAGGTTAGTAAAGAAAAATGGAAAGAGAAAAGGATTCCTCCAGATCTGGTAGGAGTCAGTCTCTTGACCTGTTTGGCCAAGATACACTTTCCTTACTTTCCTATTGTGCAGGAGAAATAATATGCAGCATTTCCCCTTCTTGCCAACTAACAGGAACCACTTTATTCTTAGGACATGACCGCAGTCTCAGAATAAGTATGCTTCTGTTTTCTGCTTCTTTGTTCTTCTGCTCTATTTACTAAGTTTGCCTTGTTCCCCCCCACCACCACCCCGCCTTTTTTTTATTCTGCATAAAAAGTATCAGAGCAGAGAAAATAGACTATTTCACAGTGAACTTGTCAGATTTTAATGTTATATACTACTGTATTTCCATTTAAGATATACTCTTCAAAAGAAAGCATTAGCTAAATCGAGAGTTCATTCCCTTCAGGGCCAATGTTTTTATCTCGTGTAGCTCTGAGAATAGATATTTTTACCTGTCATCAAAAATATCCAGGACAAAGAAGAATGAAAGTCCTTTAAAGGACCTGGAGGTGACTTAGTTGCTAATAAATCATGTTTTGCTTAATTGGTGAAAAGAAAGCTATCAGAGTGGGGAGTTTGTCGGGATAGATAGAGAAAAGACACGCTGATGCCCTAGGTCAGTGCAGGGAAGTCTAAAGCCTCGGGCATTTTCAGGGTGGAATTGAGTTGTCAGTGAGCTGCCTCCTTAAAGTGCTGTCTCTTGGTGCATATGGTGCTTACATATGGATATGCCAGGAAGGGGACAGACCTCCTTTGATTCCAGACCCTGGCACTGAGAGTCCACACTCAGTTCGCTGATGACCCCTCTGACACCTAAGGTTACAGCACAGTCTGAGGCACACAGTAGTCTCTGAGAGTCCCCCAGAAAAAGAGGGAGGCAGCAAATACTCCGCTCAACCACAGCGAGAGATTTCTCCAGGTACTTCCCTGCCTCCCAAACTGTGTCCAGAAACTCAACACCCCTAGATTTCAAAGCAGAGAATACCTTGATTTATCTCAGGTGTTCAGCCTTTCCCCCACTCCCCCACTATATGTCAGCCCATAAAGGCAGGTGATTGCTACATGATTTGTGATCAGACTCTCATTGACACTTGCAAAAAATTTATGTTTCTGTCATTTGCTGCTTTCCAAGGAGAATAATTATTTAAATAAATAGGCAGCCAAACAGAACTACGAATGAAATTATATTTTACCTCAGCAGAATATATTTTGAATGCAATTAAGGAGTTTAGGTATTTTTTAAAACAGGAAAAAAGTCATAACTACCATTTATTAATTCAAAACTTTATATTTGGGACCACCTGTTCAACTGCACCTCTTGGCCCTCCCCTTCCATTTGTGCCAGTCACACAGAAGTAATCGCTCCTCTAACCAATGGACACAGACACTGGGGCGGTGGGGGCTTGCCCAGGGAATGGCTGGGGGGGGGCGGGCGGGGGGCGGTGTCAAGCGGGGGAAAAAGGAGACATATGTAAAACTTTAGACAATAAATAAAGAAGTAATTGCTTCTCTCGCATACCACCTGCCTTTGCTTACTAAGCTCTGTTCCTAAAGAGGACTTCACTTCTGCTTCAGACAGCAAAACTCCCCTAGAGTCCCTCAGGCTTCAGTGGAACCATAGTACCCCATATTCATTCTCAACACTGGTTGCTAATCTGTATTTTCCATTAGACAGGGAAGGACAGTGCCACAACCTTTTGCAGCAAGGATTCAGAATCTGGAGAAGGGGCCACACATAAATGGATACACTAGACAAGAAATATAAATTTAGAAGGCATGGGGGAAAGCCAGGCGGAGGCTTCAGTCTAGTGGCGAAGCTCGCTGAATCTCCAGACCCATCAGCTTTTTATTTACTGGAATACACATTTACCCTTTAGCAAAGCAAACAGACATTTCAATGGTAAAGTTCGGTAAACAATAAAAGGATTATTCAGCCAGCAACAGGTAATAATATGCAGATTTTCAGCCCTGCTGAATATCAGAGTCCATCAGCCTTCTCACAGACTCCTCGCATCTACATGCTAACCACTTTTTGGTCCTTGCCTCCAGCAGGGCAGGTATCTGGCTCTTTTTTGCTCTCCAGTGCCAACACAGTAGAGACTCAAATATTTGCTGAATGAATGAAAACTTTTTTAAATATGTTTTTATTAATTTGAGAGAGAGAGAGAGAGAGACATCGATATGAGAGAGAAACATGAAGTGGTTGCCTCCTGTACGTACCCCAATCAGGGACAGAACCTGTAACCTAGGTATGTGTCCTGACCGGGAATCAAACTGGCAACCTTTTGGTGCATGGGATGATCTCAACCAACAGAGCTGCACTGGCTAGGGCATGAATGAAAACTTTCTGGTGTCACTAGATGATGATCATACTGCTCTGGCTTGCGGTGACGGGGTGGAATGGGTTGATGTTTGTTTGTTTTGACAAAAGCAAGAATAAATAGATGACAGAATTTCATAGCAAGTTGATATTTTGGGATGTGAAGTCCTATGTGTAAAATAACTATAAGCTCATATATTACCCCTGTTTCTGATTGCCCATTTTTCTTCTTAAACTTCAAATAAAACCTAAGTGTTAAAAGTTTTCAATAACACTTTACGCAATGCCCAGCAACCCATCACCAACTACATCGTCTATGACTGTTGCAAGGACTCCTATATCAGATGGAATTTCTTGAAGTTCAATAACATCAAATATCATTAAAGTTATTCTGAATAAATATTAATTCACCTAAATCTAGGCTTAGTTACTTTGTTGATTAATGTATTTATTCTCATCCTTCTCTGTATTTTAATGGGCCTAAGGTTAAAATAAAATTATTTCCAAGACTTTTAGGTTTCTAATTCCTTGAAAATTGTTATTAACAATAACCCCACAGGGTTTAACAACTGTCCTTGTTCTTAGTAATCCAGCTCATTAAAAAAAAAAAAAAAGGAACCAGGAATTAGACAAGAAGATCTTAAAGCTGTACTCTGGGCTTTATGATCTCAAAACAATCACCCATGTAAATGTGTTAATTAACTAGATGGAATATTTTCACAAGGTATCTATATACACAAAAAGCCAGTGACTGGAATGCTGTAACAACCAGAATGACTAGTTGCTATGACACCCACTGCGGCCAGCAAACCCACCGAATCAGGAGTGGGGCCAATCTCCCATGGCCCCTCCCCCCAGCTGGCCTGCCCCTGATCAGCCTCCCCCACACCAATCGAGGGCAAGGCAGCTGGCCAACCATCCCCATGGCCCTTCCCGATGGCTGGCCCCGCCCCCTATTGGCCCGCCCCACCCCGATTAGCCCGCAACCCCTCCACCCGTCCAGCTCCCCTTACCCCAAAAGGTGGCAGGGCTGGCCAGCCAACCACCTGCAGCCCCTCCACTCCCAATGGGCTCCCACCACCTCAATCAGCCCATGGCCCCTCCCCCCAATCAGCTCCACCCCCGATTGGCCCCCAGACCCCAATCAGGGGCAGAGCCAGCTGGCCAACCATACATGGCCCCTCCCCCAGGCTGCTGGCCCCAATTGGCCCCCCCATCCCATTTGGGGGTGGGGCCGGCCAGCCCACTGCCCACAGCCCCTCCCCATGGCTGGCCTCACCCCCAATCAGCCCCTGCCACCCTGATTGGCCCACGGCCCTTCCCCTCAACCAGCTCCACCCCTAATCAGCCCCCCACACCAATCAGGGGTGGGGCTGACTGGCCAACCTCCCATGGCCCCTCCCCCAGCCGCTGACCCCAGACAGGCCCTCCCACACCCCATTCGGGGGCAAGCCTGGCTGACCCACTACCCACAGTCCCTCCCCATGGCTGGCCCCGCTCCCAATCGGGGTCAGGGCCCACTGGCCAATCACCCTTGGACACTCCCCTAGCCAGCACAGCCCTGATTGGGCCCCGATTGGGGCAGGCCCCGCCAGCCAACCTTCTGCTGTCTCCTCCTGACAGGCCTGCCTCTGATCCACCTTGTTTGGGGCCAGGCCAGCCAGACCCCTGTGCATGAATTCGTGCATTGGGCCTCTAGTACAGTGATGACGAACCTATGACACCTCTGACATGCAAACTCATTTTTTTGGTTGATTTTTCTTTGTTAAATGGCATTTAAATATATAAAATAAATATCAAAAATATAAATCTTTGTTTTACTGTGGTTGCAAATATCAAAACATTTCTATATGTGACACGGCACCAGAGTTAAGTTAGGCTTTTTCAAAGTGCTGATACGTCGAGCTCAAAAGGTTCGCCATTACTGCTCTAGT